CGGTCGAAGCTTTTCCAGACCAACTCTAGCCGATTATACGTCGATTATTGACATGGAATCGCGTTAGGTTGGTCAGACTCCAAAAGATATATGTTGCATGATTACGTTGCCTTTATTAAATAGTGACTAGTAAAGATTACTCTTAGAGACTATATGTATACACTGTGTATTTTATACACGCCGCAGACGCGTTGTAGTGAATCGATCCAAACGAGCGCATACGTCGTGTTGCAAGTATTCTTACTTGTAAGTGTAAACTCCTGTGGAGTAGTATATAAGCTTCAGCTTCAACCTGTCACCATGTATACATGATGCCACTGGAGTTTACATTTCAAATTTCATGTAGTTGCTACATTTCAAAAACTAAGTGAAGTTAACAAACAAATCTAACATTTAAACTATCTCTTATCGAGTGAAAAAGACATGCGTTCATCGCTTGTGTAGCATCGTTGGTCCGAGCGGGAGGGAAACACGCTACATCTTTTTCGCCCTTATAGCGTAGAAATAAAGCTTTTTCTGATCACCTCAAGCTATAAGTGTGTGACTTCCCTTATACAACTAACGGATGCGTAGTTTACATAATAGCGGTGCACATAATGTTTATTCTCTAGAATAGTGGGTACGTAGAACTCTGTACCATCATTGTTATAATCTTTTGAATTGCAAGGTCTGTTCTATTATATATTTGTATATATTATATTACTAACATCATAAACAACGTTTGATCATGAAATTTACTTTAAAAAAATATATATTTAGATGGCTCTAAAGGGCGATAATTCTGTGCAGTAACAAAAAAAGAGCTAGGTGGAAGTGGACGCTTGTACGTTTGAATAAATCTAAAAAGTACCACTTTGTGTAACAAAAACATTTGGAAACGGGAATAAACTCGTGTAAATGAATTTGTGACTTTGTGAAGACGCCTATCAAGAACAGCTAGTTTATTTATATTCCTCGTATTGATGTTATGTCGTCACTATTTTTCATAAAGAAATTACTATTCCTCTTAACATAAATTACATTTACATAAAATGTACTGTTAATGTAAAGTTGATTGTATTGCTGAAATAAAGCGTTTATTATTTTTTATAATTATTATTATGTATTTGTTACTAGCTGGTGTCCGCGACTTTGTCTGCATAGAATAAGTACTTCGAGTAGGCTACTTTATATTCAGTTTTATTGGTTCTCCATATTAAACTGTCATCATTCAACCCCTTTAAGATTTATTGTTATGACAAAAAGTAGCCTATGTCCTTCTCCTAGAGACTATCTATGTCTATCATCGTCATCATCAAACTTAAGAGTTATATATACTCTTGTCGGCGGAGCATCTTCCAGTCATCTCTCTTATAAGTCAGCTCCTTGACCTCCTTATACGACACGACACCGGCCTTTTCCTTTATTCTCTCTCTAATCTCAATTTTGACAACTTTGCAGGTGAAGAAAAAATCATTTATACAGCATATGGTTTATTAAATAAAAATACGTAATGTACATAAATAACTACATGGGTAAAAAAAGTATCTAAAAACTACGTATTTTTATTTAATAATAAAACGAGATGCTATGTATATGCGTCAAGCAAACAATTTTTTCTTCATCCTGTTAAGTTGTCAAAATTGAGATAGTACCGATTGCCAGGTCACAGTCGCTATGTAACTGCGCCTAGATCGATCTCTTTCCCTCTTCCCCTCGATCTTTTCCTTCAAAATGGTCTTAAAGAAATCGTTGTGTCGTATCAAATGTCGTCATTTTCCCGCGTCTATACTCTATAGTATTCAAGTTTTTTTTTCTATGTCTATAATATACCAAAATTAATCAATATTGGTTTAGCGGTTTAGGTGTGCAAAGAGTTAATTTTCCATTTTTTTTTATAATAACGGGACGAACAAGTCATGCGCCTAGTAGCGACACGTAAGCGATCCATAACAGTTGCAGTGCCACTCAGAGCTTTAAATCGTAAAGATTTTAGGGGCGCTGCAACTGCACTCGTACCCTGAGACATAATTTGACAAGTCCCATGTGCCTGTAATTTCACCAGTACCCTTCTTCCAAACTGGAACGCAGTAATGTTCACATTTATTGCTTGGCGGGAGAAATAGGTGACGTGTTTATATATTAGTTTGGATTCTTGTAGAAGATATTCCTTGGTTGCACCCCCTTTCCAGCTCTTACATTTCTATCCTAAAGTTGCCTGGAAGATTGCTACTTAGCGATAATGCCGCCCGCTGTACATTAGCTTACTGTATGATACTTATATCAGTGTTTTGTGTTGTAATTTTTAATGTGCAATAATAGTAGTTTCTGCGACTGTTACATAATGAAAGGCATTAAAATGCGAGTATGGGTTGAGTCTCACGAGTGTTTTAATGTCTAATTATGTACATTTACATACATTGCTTTATCTATATACATATTATAAGCTCTCTATGATGTCAAGTGCAGGAACCGCATGTTAGGACTGGCGAAATGGCGGCAATTAAAAACTTTTCTTAGGCATGTCACGTAACCGTAGTTTTTTTTAGTTCATAGACAAACTAGAGTCGGTCCCAACTATCATATCGTTCGATAACAAGTAACGTGTGAAATTTGTCAAAATTGTTTGCTACTGACATTTTTCATAAATATGAAATAGAATTTGATGTTCTAAGTAATGATAATATTTTCACAGATAAGAATTTTTTTTAACAAAACAGTTTATCTTTATGCTGCAGGGCTAAAAAGGCCGTATTAGCGGAATCCTATTGTGATTACTTGACAATTCATCTATTTGACAGTGTTCTATGGAGGTCTCCATAGAACATTGTCAAATAGATGTATTGCGTTCTTTGTTTTGTTTTAGGCCCCCTGGTCGTAATTTGCGATTTTTTAATGTAAAATAACAGGTTTATGATATGTGTGTAGATAAAGAACATTTTAATCATTCATTGTTTCACGATAATAATATGCCAAACTTGTCTCTAACTAGGGAATTTCTTATACTATGACTGCCAGAGTAACGGTGTACTACAGGATACTAACTAGATCACCCAGACCAGAGCCAATTTACACTGTCATTCGCTTTCACATACTGGTGCTTGTAGGGACGTCAGCTAATACAGCAGAACCTAATGTTTTGATTATCCATGCTCATTTCAACGAACACAATCTCCATTGTTTCGATTAGCTGTAAATATCATTTGTCGATAGCACGTATTAAAAAGGGCTAAGATTTTGAATATTTCGCACCCCTCATGGAAGAATGGCATAAATGAAGTTACGTCAAAAATGTTTATTGCTTCATTAGATAAACATAATATTACACTAGTGTCACTGCTATTATGATAGTGTCGTAACTCAAAATTGTGGAATTGAGGAAATACAATTTGAAAAGTAAAACAAATACTGAATGGATCTTATTTCGAATAATGTGATTATTTTTATTTATATATAATACTTAATTGTCCATTTATAAACGAGAATATACATATATTGTTTCATTCAGTTTTTAAAAAGTAATTAAAACAAACAATAAAGTGTTAAAGGTGAGGCAAATAGCTCTCATTACCCGCGTAACATCAAATTGAAAAAGGAATAAAACAGTAAAAAAATATATATTTTTATTGTGATGTCAAGCATAACTTCTAAAATTTTATAGATATAGTGAAGCTATGTCACTACAAGTGTAAATACAATGTAGTATCTGTGCATTTTACTGTTTACCTGGGATAATGAAATTTGGCAAACTTTATAAGCGCGGAGCGAAAAAAACAACCATCTCATAGGAATAAACGCGGGGTTCTACGGGTGCACCCACGGGACTCGAAACTTGTCGAACGTTAACGAAGACATTAGGAGTGCCGTTGCACAAATACGAGCTTTGGGAAAGTCCAGTTTAACACCGCTCTCATTACCCGCGGGGTCCCAATACCCCACGTTCCCCTACGTTGCAAATCAGTAGGTATAAAAATAGGCATGCAATTTCATATGAAGCTAAGTATTTGTATTTTGTATTTGAAGGTAAGTAAAAATTATTTTATAAATGTTTGTTTCATTAAATAGACATCTCAAGATTGTTTACATTTAGTTAGTACCTAAACAAATGGACTGTCGCTGTTCACACAGAACCCTAACTAGGAATAGCGGGGTCTAATAGCATAAGCAATTATTAAGCTTAAAACGAGTTCCCCTTACTTGCTGCAAACTAGGTTTAAGTGATCGTAAATGAACATTTTTTTTTATAGTCTGAGAATCAAAAGCAGCAACTGATTTTGTTAAGAGGACATAATTATGTTTTTTTTTGTCTGCAACAATTTTGAAACTTTTCAATACCTACGTATAGATTGGTCCACATTAAGGGTCGTATTCCAGAACTCTACTCAACACTCAAGTCAGGACTTGAGTATTGAGTAGAGTTCTGGAATACGACCCTAAGCTGATCAGGTAATATCAAATGTACTGATTTGACCGATTTCCAATATAAGATTAACTAAATTAAATATTACAAATAATAAAGTAGATAATTCCTTCTCCAAATATGCCACGCGAGAATGTGGTAAAACTGACAAAAAGTTAACGATATCAGGGATCGATGGCATCTTCTACAAAATAAATAATTTGCGCCTGAGTTAGGAACCAGGGCATCATATGTATTAACTCGGTTTTTCTTGTTATGGCTTAACTTAATGCATTTTGAACCAAACCATTTAGCATCTGTTTACGTTATTTAGATATAATAATACATTATATTTTATTCAGTTATGTAAAAGATAACCTCCAAAACTTCAAACTGGAATATCTTTCATTCCAAACTTCTTTTCATTCAAACCCAAAACCACATTTGTTCAGGAATTTAAACCATATTTTCACATATTTTTCGTAAACAGACGCACACAAATTATGTCAACTAAAATTTATAAGAGAGTTCGCCATTGTTCTTTGGCAACATGACAAGGATAATTAATTTGTCAACCTGCATTGTAGTCTATACAACAAAAGTTTCATTTCATCATTTACAGGTGGATGGACTACAAGAGCAAGAGAAAGGCAAGCATTCCCTCGGTACCACCAAGAAAGGTATCGGCCCGACTTACTCGGCGAAGGCGGCGCGAAACGGCATTCGGATAGGGGACTTGCTCGGCGAATTCTCCCTTTTCGAAGAGAAGTAAGAAGTTTACTATTCAATAGACAAGCGTAAGGTTCTGCCTAGTGGCAGCATTAGGAAAGCACTAGTATTGGGGCTCGTACTTAAAAGTATGTATATAGAATGTTTCTGTTAATGTTACTTATGTTTAATGGGATGTGTATGATTCCCAGAGTACACTGTTCGGATGAGGTAGCTTAACAAAAAGTATGTAAAGCACCGTACTGTCCGAAGGTCTTATTGCACAAAAATTACATGTGTAATTAACGTGAGCGCGACAATGCGTGCGACCAGCAAGTTATTCAGGTTAAATAATGAATTACTTAATATACTCCTTACACCTACTTAATGCAGGCGACACATGTCTTCCGCAGAGATCTGCCTGCGCATGCGCATCTGTCTACCAGATTATTTTTACCACATTATTTTAAAAATAAAAAGTAGGTAAAACATTCGATCAACCTTGTCAAACTACTGACAGCTGTCAAGTTTCGTAAAATGCCGCAAACGAAAACAGCAGCTATTGTCAAAATGTATTTTGGAACGTTCTTAAATAAAATTGACAGATTTTCTCAATCTTTATTCACGGTAATTACGTATTTAAAAAAGAAAAATATTATAAATTATCATCTAGTATTGATACAACTGTTTCGGGTAGAATTATTAGAAAAAAAGCAGCACATTTATTTATTATTATTTTTCGATATTTCAGGTTTCGAAATCTTGCCGAGCAGTACAAAAGAATGTTTTCGAGTTTAGATGTAGATGTACAGGCAGAGTTAGAAAGGTATAGAGGGTACGCGAAAGAGATACGGCCTTTAGTGAGGGACACTGTTACATATCTCCACGACCAGATTAAAGCCGGGCGAAAGGTGTTAGTGGAAGGCGCTAATGCTGCTATGCTGGACATTGATTTTGGTTTGTAACCCTTTATCAATCCTTATGATCTGGTAGCCAAACAAAAATAATACAACTAGGCACCTAATTTTTACTTATATAAAAAAAAATGTGTAACAATTGCGAATACCTCGATGTATGTTTCGTTATGGAATTTTTTTATTTGCAGTCCGCGTCTTACCATAGACTCTACCTTGACAGTACTTTTCCATAAGTCTCAGATTAAGCAAGCAAAATAATACACCGTGTTTTTTTTTATTTATAATTTTGGAACATAAAAACAAAGTTTTTTTTAATCAATTTTCACATAAATGAATTTATTTATTTTGTAATTTTACAACCTTCTTGGAATACGGTTCTATACTAGGTCCTAGCTATTAGTGGATGTCCTTTTAAACAGGTAGAATAAAAACGCGACAGAAAGCAACTTTTACAAATGTGACTATCAAAGAAATCAGGAGCAAAAACGGCCGATTCATTATTTTGTATCTAGCAAGCATTTAATTAGTGATAATGAATCTAGAATCATTTGACATTAGTGATAATGTCAAATGATTCTAGGCAGACGAAAGCACATATTATGTCAAAAACTATTTGTTTTTTCATTTTCATAAATACATCAACCGACTAAAGCATACAAGTCCTAAACATTTTGGAAACGAAAAGCTTTTTTCGGGTCTAAATCGCGTGTATTTGTATTTGAGAAACAAGACAGCGTTTGGGGCTCTTCACATGTCTTGATTGAGGCAGCCATCATCTTGGGACCTGTAATGGGCCAGAAACCCGAGACCAGAAACCCGAAACCCTGAGACCTGAAATTCATATTTTTCAACTTAATTTTTTTATCTTCCGACATTATAAACTACACTGAATGTTATGTGCTGACCCCAGAATTAGGACCTCACGTTTAGAACAAAATTATTCCCATAGTCATCTGGCGCAATATATATATAAAAAAACACGACGTATATCCTATTACAGTATACAAATATCAGACATACATCAGACGTGGGGCATCAAGTGGACGTTTCGGTTCCAGGAACTTATCCGTACGTGACGTCATCGAACTGCAGCATTGGCGGCGTGTGCACCGGCCTGGGCCTACCGTGCAAGGTTTTTAATTTTCTATTTAATAATTTTAATATTAGTAAGTAAGTAAGCAAGTAACTTTTAAAAGTCTTTGAATGCAGTATAACTTACTTTTTTAAAAGTTAAGTTGATAAAAGTTCCTTTATTGGATAACCTCGCTTTTGTATACCGAGGCTGGTTTTACAGCTGTGCGTATGGTCTGTGCGGATCGTCCGCCTGCGTAGAATCAGCAGTGCTCTGAATTGAGTATTTAGTGCGTATTTGCACGTATGCCTTGTGCGGAATGCACGCGTCACTGTAAAACGATGTTCTATGTGCCACACGTGTTACTCCGGTCCGTCCGGTGCTCTGAAACCAGCCTAACATTTAATGATTGTTATAATTTGTTAATGGACCAAGGCGGTTACTGAGTGGTACCCGGTAGGAGCGGGACGTCCTCGAGGCAGACCACCTGCTAGATGGTCGGACGATATCGTCGGGGTGGCCGGAAGATTGTGGATTATGGAGATTCGCAATGGACCGATTGACCTGGCGTGCAAAAGAGAAGGCCTATACCCAGCAGTGGGTGTTAACGGGCTGAGATGATGATGATGATAATTTGTTTTATTGTACAATAAAGTGTTTACATACATAGCTTTATAACGTACCCATGAGGCAACACGTGTTTTATCTACCCGCATCATTGACCTACCAATAAAAGGACATCGGGTCTAATACAAAAATCACGAAAGAAATGTCCGAAGTTAACCTATACAAACGTAGTGACATGTAACAAAATATAAAAAACTAAAACATTGAATTTGAATTGTAACGTCATTGCAGTACTGCCTAATTTTGCTTGCAACAATTTAAGGGCCCAAAAACACCATATTCTACTGGAAACTTAACAAAATGCACCATATTTAGCTTCGACTGAAAATTACTTGAACACAAGAGTAAAGGTAGCCTTTCTCGTAAATATTAATTAATTTTTATATACATTATTATGTCGATTTTTTTTTGCAAATTCACTTAAGGATTATAATAAAGAGTTGGGCAGATACATACATATAAATATTACTACAAATGTAAAAATAAGCGTGTACTATAAGAAATGAACCGATATTCCAACTAAACGTAAACTCAAATATCCGTAATTCCGAAAACTGATTTATAATAAAAACCGTTACGCTTTCGAGTAATTTTGATGCTTTTCACAAAGCCAAATTTAGCTTTATGAGAATTCGAAGTAATGTTATTTCGGGCAAATGTATTTTCTGACTTCTGATAGGTAATCCCAAGCCGTAAAACGAGTACAACAATATTTTGTTAGTTATTGCTAACGTTTAATAAAAAATCATTTTAAAAATAAGATTAAAATCAAAGCGACTCTATAGTTTCTTTGTTCTAAATATTTCAATCGCTTGTGGTTCGAACAATTGAAAATGACCAAGAAGAAGAAGTTTACATAAGCTGCTTGAAACTGATGTACTGGGTCTTTTCCATCTTTTGCGCATGCAATGTGTAGAAAAAGGACAGTTAGCTATTTGATTATTTTGTGTGCTTTAGTCATTTATATGTACGATTATGTCGATTATGTCATTTATAAATAAATTAAATACTATAAAACTGTACAAAATAATACTTTAAAATGAGAACTATCATAACACAATATAATTGTTTACTGAAAATATGATACAAAATCCTGTTTTTACACTTTACTGCAGTAATTTTTACAAGCTATAATATTGGTACTGCATGATTGACAACCGCGCTGTCAGTCGAACAAACGAAGACAGTTGCGCGATTGACGCTCTGTATGCGATTTTAACGCTCTACAGGTGCGGACACTTTTTAGCCCGAACCCGACGTCCATTTATTGGTAGGTCAATGACACACATCTATAATATGTTCAAAAACCGAAATTACGCCCAGCATAAAGGTAAACTGTTGTGTTAGAACAAATTTCTTATCTTTGAAAATGTTATTATTGCTTCTTAATAACATCGAATTACATTCAAATTTAGAACATCTCTGAAAAACAAAACAATTTGATTTGATCTCAATTCTAATATCAGGGAGATGAAGTTTTATTCGAAATGAAATGTCAATAGCAAACAATTTTAACAATTTGACACGTTACTTGATATCGAACGATATGATAGTTGGGGCTGATTCTAGTTTATCTATGAATTAAAAATAAAATCTACGATTGTGTAACATGCGTGAGAAAAGTTTTTATTTGCCGCCATTTCGCCAATCGTGACATGCGATTCCTGAACACATCACAGAGAGCTTATAATATGTGATTAAGATAAAGCAGTGCATGTATAATTAGGCATTAAAACACTCTTGAGATGTTTTAATGCCTTTCATTATGTAACAGTCACATGAACTACTATTATCTACAATATATAAATTACACTATTTGGTTGGTGGAAAAAAATACATGATTCTATGTAATATAAGTTTAATTTCGTACGTATTTTTTCTTATTTATTGTTAGTTTTCCAATCACGTTACTTTTCTAATTTCGTTGTTGTTGGTTGGTATTAAGGGTTTACCGTAGGGTTCGTTGTAACTTGATTATTGTTTTTTAAGGTAATCGGCGACGTGATCGGCGTCGTGAAGGCGTACACCACGCGTGTCGGGGACGGACCTTTCCCAGCCGAACTACACGATGTGAGTAGTTTAAATTTTTTTTTACAATTCCTGCTACTTAGTAAGGAAACAATAGATTTTTTTAAGTCTTTATTTGTTTATAGAGGGCTTTATAAATGCCACACTTATAGTGGCTCTTTTAATCTTCATATTTCTTAACCTAATTGTCTCCCTAAATAATTTATATAGCAACTCAGCCTCTTCAGAGGTCGGAGCTGCCAGGATGTTATTAATCTTACCGAGATCGTACGTAGGCGGTGTCGCGACGCCAAGCCCGGGCTACATCCATTGTTGCGTGATACACACATCTTCGACAATTTCACATTCGTTACAAACGGGTAAACTACAGTTTATTAAGCATAGTTCGCACCCATGGCAGTGTTTTGTAGAAAGGGCGAAAAATTTTTCATTTCATTTCGAAAAATTTTTCAGGGGAGCATTTTGGTTCTAATTAATAAATGTTAGTAACTTTTTCACAAGGCGCTCTACTGCTATTAAAATACTATACCATAAGTAATGTAAATAAATTTCTAACTGAAAAATAAACTCACAACTCACAAAATGCTCACGCCGATTTAATTTGTTAATAATTTATGAATTACTTTTTTTGCCTCTTTGTTACATCCTAACTGAGTCATACTACACTTTTATTACATTGAGTAGTTTTATTATAACACGTTTTTAATGTATAAGTGCAATATGGAAATAAATAAATTCCAACACCATGTTCTAGGACATAGGCAAACAACTTCAAACGCGAGGTCATGAAATAGGTGTCACCACGAAGCGCGTGCGCCGTTGCGGCTGGCTCGACCTCATCGTCGTGAGATACACCGCAATGGTGAATGGATACACCTCGTAAGTTGATGGGATCACCTCAAAAGATAACGGATAGTCTTCTTTAGTCAATGGATAATACTTATGCATCAATTACGGATGAAAACACCGTTGCGCCTATGACATCATGGAACAAAAGTTCTTATTTATTATGTTACTAATATGGTCCTGCTAGGTGTTTAGTATTTTACAAATTAACTATGTATAATGTGAAAGTGTATATTTTGTTTGCATTCGGTTTAATTCTAAGAGTGAGTACACACGGCGAGTTTCGATCTGTGTATTAATCATAACAAAACTAGTGGAGTTATTTACACAAAAAAATCATAATAATATTATTATTAATATTGTAACGGAGGCCGTGGGTTCCCCGCAATCACTGAGTTATAAACCGTGTTCGAGTTCATTATAAAATGTATCACTGTTTTCAATACAAATAAATGAGTTTATCATTATTATTATTGTGTGCAATTGCATTTAAATTTTTTCTAGATTATGTCTAACAAAGCTGGACATTCTGGACACGCTGAAGGAGATCAAGATCGGCGTGGGGTACACGCTCAACGGCGAGCGCATCAATTATTTCCCCTCCTCTATGAAAGAACTTGGCGATGTCCAGGTACAGTCACAAAAATTATCGTTACAAAAATGCTTCCATTCTGTTCCGTGGCAAATTTAAATTGAGTCTTAAGTTGCTTAAATTGCCGTTGCAAAAAGACAACACTAAACATTTCTACTATTTGATATATTCTACAGGATATATCACGGAGAGTGTGCGAAGGAATTGCACGATTTCATTCCGCCTTCCCCTTTCCATCATCGGGAGTCCAGACCCCGCACCTTTCTACACAAGTTTTGATTATAGTGCCCCTCTCTGCCGACCCTTAGGGTATTCGAGAAGGGCACTATAACCTGCACAGAAACCTTCGATGTTCAGGTTCTTACTCCAGATAGTCATTGTACACGGTTGTTACAAACCGTTGTCACTGACTTCCACCGGTTCTCAAGGGGCTAGTGCCTCCCTATTTTCCAGATAGGTACCGGAGCAGTAGGCATGCTCACTTCTCATTGCGCATGGCACAATTAACGGTTGCCACCGCTAAGCCGTTGATTCTAAAGTCCACTACCAAATCTCCTCTTTGGTGGCGGAGCTGTAAGGCACGCTCACTTCCCGAAGCCGAGGCGTCTGTCCAGTTTCCAGAAACCTATGCGGCTAGTGGCACCGGAAAATGACTAACTCATCTTGTACTAGCTCTCCGGCCTAGTACCTGAGATATTGGTCGCAATGTTCTGCGATAACGTACGCTGACGCACGCTGGAGTTCCATCCCTATGTGTTGGCTATTCCAAGGATTCGCTCGAAGCGTTTCGCTTCCACATTTATATGGCGAACCGCTATGGAATGGAATTCACTGCCTGCAGATTTATTCCCAGAGCGGTATAATTTGGGCCTTTTCATGGCGAGAGTGAATGGGCATTTTTTTGTGTGGGTGTGCACGCTTCACCGTCGATTTCGTCGTCATTTTCCATTAGGTGTGATGGCGGTGAAATTATCACATTTTTTTAACCGACTTGAAAAAAAGGAGGAGGTTCTCAATTCTGTATATTTTTTGTGTGTATGTTATTATTTGCCGATTACTTCAGCATTTGTGGATGAAATTTGAAGAAAACATTTCACCTCTTAAGGGTGGAAAACTAGGGGATGGAGCCGGTTTCGCGCATTTTCTGGTAACCGATTTCAATAAAACTTGGCAAAGAGATGTAATTCCATGAACTTTTAAAGGTTATAATTATGTAACAAAAAAAGTCATTTTTTTAAATACCGAGTCATTGACTTACAATTATATGGACGTCGGGTCCGCGCTAAAAAGTGTCCGCACTTGTAAGGCGCTAAAATCGTATACAGAGCGCCAAACTCCGCTTTAGTCTTCATTTGTTCGACTGACAGCGCGATACTGCGATGACATTACAATTTAAATTTCGAATAGGTTGACTTGGGACATTTTTTTCGTGGTTTTTGTATTAGACCCGTCGTCCATTTATTTGTACGTCAATGTACCGAGTGATGCAATTCTGAAATATATGGCGGGTGTTACAACCCGCGCTGTGCAACTCGAGTGCACCAAGAGATTATGCAAATGTGTGCGTCCGTACACTACTTATTATACTATGCTATAAAGGTGCTACAGATTTACTCGATTTTTGACGAGTTCTGTGCTTTGACGATCAATAGGATCTATCAGCTAACAGATTGCTCGATTTTATCAAAAGTTACTGTCGCCTGTTAACGATCGATAAATATCCGATAATAAGATTCCGATTGATATTCAAAATTTGCCATTTACGAGGTTTAAAAGTGAAACCAAACCTTTAAACTAATAGTTATTATACAGCTTCTGCGTACTTGGATGACAAAAATCCGTGGTAATGATCCGCTTAGCTCTTGCAGGTAGTCTCGATCTAATAAGATGTTTAAATTAACAATAATAATGTGTGCCGTGGACACACACATAGACATACCACAAATTCCACCCAAACTCATGAGAGAAATAAATGTAGGCCATACAAATATTTCTATCGGCCCGGGAATCGAACCCGTGACCTCTGCGTGGCAATCCAGCATGGTAACCGTTCGGTCACTAAGGCAGTTATTAATTAAATATTGTATATGATAAATGTATATTTACAAAGAGCAACCCCTACAGTTTTTTTGTTCATTCTTCTCAAGGGAATCTGCCTCACGAATGAGCGATAGAGTTTGATCAGTATGACAATTTCAAGTTTAATTTGCTTACCTATGAAATAAAGATTATTTATTTGACTTTGACTATCGGGATTAGTGAAAATCGATCTAATTTGTGGGCACCTATTCCTTCCTAATTTTAATTCCACAGTGTCGATCGAGAAAAAACTATCGATCATTTGTTCTTACATATTTTGTTCGATTACACACGTCGATCGTCAAAAAATCAAGCAAATAGACCTGAAAAGTTCTCTACTGTTCTTTGTTGTACCTATATAGGTACAGTCATTATCTTAATATGATGACATTAATGCGAGATGTTCTGACGTTGTGGAAATGTTGAAACTAACCACAGGTGGAATACATAAGTTTGCCGGGCTGGGGGACCAGTATAGAAGATATTAGAGAGTTCAGCAAGCTGCCTTGGGAGGCGCGAAGCTACGTGAAGACCATCGAAGAATTCCTGCAAATACCTAGTGAGTTGCCAAGTTTTCTTTGTTTTTTAAAACTAGAACAACTAAACTGATTTTGATGGTATTTTTATGATTATTGATATTCTTGTCTTTATTGAAAATATGTCTTGACTTTATTGAAAATATGCCAGTTTCGAAAAAAGTCAACGAGACCGAAGAAACCGAAGCGGGGCAGTTTGGTACAGGGGGCACATTCATACCCCTACATTATTCCATACCTTCAAACATAATATTAGTTCTGATAATACTAAAACGTGACTTTGTACGTATGAGTAATAAACATGCGATGATGCAGCTCACCAGGTTGCCATAGTCGTTTGACAGGTCACAAAGTGTTTTCACAGCCGTTGACAAAAAAAATAAGCGACGAGTATATACAAGTGCCACTGCAGTTTTGTTCACTTTACACGGTTTTATGTCTTAATACAGGGTAAACTAGTGATTTCTATAACTAGAATTGCATGTGACTGAGAGAAGATTAAAGATTTTTTTAATAAATATTTTTTCTAAGCTGGTTGGGTACTTTTATACACTAGTGAGTGGCGCAGTTTGGTATGATGTATCAAAATGCTCCTAGTAGTTATTTTGTAAAATGTAAAACTATTTTAACAAGTTATTGTAAAGAGGTGAACTAGTGACATTTTACGTTACATGCTCTTCGTCCTATATTTCTACTTCCTAGACTATATTACAAAGAATACTTTTCAAATGGTGCCCTAGAAAGAAGTCTTGATCTAGCAAGTGCTGTGGCACATATAGCGTCATACTTTATGAACAGTTGATCACCCAGTGCTGATAATACGTGGCAACCAGGAATGGCACACTACGTTGATTCACACATCTAAGTGCCCCAAGCGAAGTATCAAAGTACCCCACAGGTGGGGCAGAATTGGACAATTGCCATTTTTTGTTAAAATCAAAATTTTTCAATTATTCAATGCTATTTATGGAAGAAAAGATTAAATTAGTAATGTTTATTAGTTATAGCATCAATTAGGTATAAAAAAATATTCATTATAATTTCATTTAGTAGCCCAAAATTAAAGTTAAAAAAAGTGTACGAATCTGCCCCGCTTCCCTCTAATACAGACGAAATTGCGAGCAAAAGCTAGGAATGAAGTTCCACTAAATGTTTATTGGTTGACAGTAAATAATGGACAATTTTGTCCAGTAATGTTGGTATATTTTCAAAAATCATTTGAAAATGTACCATTATTATTAGCTATTATTCAACAGTTAAATAATAGCTCGGAGGGTGGCTACTCACAAACCACCTCCTCCTTTAGCAGACTACCCAACGTATAAAAGACATTGACACTATATTGACACGCAATTGAGATGATTTAAAATTACATTACAAATTTTCTAGGATGATCCCTGAGACACTTCACAAAATTCTACATAATATAACCTTGTAACGACGTCCACTTTACGCAATTTACGTATTTTATAAACTATTTTTATAAGTTTCTCTTTTAAGTAAATAGCTAGAACAATCAAAAATACGTGGCACATACAAGGCGTCAGTGAAAATTGTCGTTAGTAAAGCTGGAGCAAAACATAAAACACCTAACTTAAGAAAAAGTGGTGCCTTGGCGATACTTAAACATTACTTATTAGCACACAAGGTACTAGTATACTTCATTTAACTGGTTAACTTAGTGTACACATAAAATTTAGCACAAAATGTAGTATTTGATATACATTGAAAATTTTAGGCAAGCTGGTGAAAATCGAGTTTATGGACGCCTCGCCACTGATTGACACATACATGTCAAGACCAACTTTGAAACTAACACTGGCCCAAGCCTATTTGCCGCCATTAATAGAAATAGAAGATCAATGTCAAAAGTATTCTTGAACAATTTCATAGATTTTAGAATGCTATCATTGGTTGTATATGCAACATCGAGTATATAACCAGAAATAGAGACGAAATGTCATTTAATGTCTTAAAACTATTCTGCCAAATCATTACGTTGACAACTTCGCTCCGATTGGCCAGCCCGAATTCGAAACTCGTCAATTGTCTCACTTCACATTGACCAGTCTAACTTGACCTTTGCCATAATGGACGAAAATTTAAAATTTACATATTTCATATTCAATTGCCGATGAAATGTGGTTCAGTTTGTTTTGTAATTAGATGTTTTATGTTTTTCCCACACCACCGAATGGAACAGCCCCCAATTGCTAGAGATATTATTTTTTTTTAAATAAATACAAAATATTTTCGGAATATACGGAGACGTACACACAGGTCAATTGTTGGCGTTGTACTATTTCAGCTTTCTAATTTGGGATTTGTTGTTGATTAAAAAGCCTATTTGCCCGATGAGTTGCTAGGGATGGATGGCCCTCATTTCGTCTCTATTTCTGGTTATATACTCGATGATATTCAATTATTATTGTTCACTTATAGCTGGCGATGGCTTTTGAATCACAAACAAAGACTGCATTTACATTTAATTTATTTCGTCTCGGGTATCCACTCGATAAAAATATCGGATCGGATATCAGAATTAAAATAAATATTATTTATACACAATCCTTGGGAGATTATATTAAAACTCAATTTTTTTAATCCCTAATATTACACAAGGCTGTATAAGAGAGAGAACCTTTGCTACAAAAATCAATTAAACCAAAAATCTATCGACTTTACCTCATCCCTATGACAAACGTCAAATGAAATGTCACAGGGATTATCTAGATTGTGTTTCAAGCCAGTAAATTCTCTTTATTGACGTACTGCCAAAAATAAAAACTACATCGGGATGTCGTATAAAAATTCGTTATTGTCGAGTTTGCTAAGTCAATCAGGTGGTTACCACCATGATACTCAGTTGTTTTTGTGGCGATAAAAAGCCGGAAAAACCTAATACATAAGATCTATAACGAACACAGAGAAATTCGTAGTCTTCCGACTTAATCTGTGGCTCAGTTGGTGTAGCAGTGGTCCTAGTTTGGCATACAAAAACAGGTTCGAGTCCTGTCAGATCGAAGGAATTAACACCAGAGAAGTGTTCGATTTGTTTATTTTCCTTACATTATTTGTGAAAAGCTTCAGAAATTTCTTATTTCGCTTTCTCTGCAATAACGCACTGTTATTTATTTCCAGTTAAGTACATTGGCGTGGGCCCGGGTCGGGATTCCATAATCAAGGTTTATTAACACAAGCGCATTGCAGTGTTCCTAACCAAAAGCGCGGGCGCAACCAGAAATATACGATCAAGTAATAAGTTAAATCAAAATGCTTGTTTTTTTTTCATTGTATCTGTTATAATCTCTAACATTTATATTGTTGGTGTTGTACGATGGACATAATGTTGGTAAATAAACAAAATAAGTATAGAAACTGAATAATATTAACAAATAATTAAATTGTAATAATACCCGTGAAGGTCAAAAAAAAATTTGTTTAATTTATCATTATACAGGGTGGAAATTTGAGGAGGTTAGCATCTTAAGCCTTATGCGTACAGGAAAGCGGTCCCAAATGACTGATTTTGAAAAAAGACTACAGGCTAGTGTTTCTGATAAGGATCAAGTAGATGGGACCAACTGAGCTAACTAAAAATGTCACAAATGGCAAAAAATCTTTTACTATACGTAGAGATTTGTTGATCCTTACCAGAAACAGAATGGCTTGAAAAAAGTTTTGTAAAAATTGCCTTTTACCTTGCTGACTACCATTGTTTTTGAATCTGTGAATGTCATTCGAAATGTAATTTTCCTGTTGTGATTGCGATTGGCTTGGCCTTCCCATGCCTGACCCATCTCAAATTTCCACCCTGTATACATAGATGTATTTTAAATAATGTTTACAAACCCAACAAGGTACATTTGGTTAAAAGCTAATAAACTCTGCAACACGAATATTGATCTGAAATCAATATTAAATATATTATCCCACTTCTGACTAGCTGTTGTAACCAGCAATTGAATGCTGGTAAACAATAACTGGTTAACTGGCGAGCATGGTCTTTTCAGCTATGCGCGGGCTGGGTACGGTGTAGTGGGGTGAGCGGTGGCGATGTGTAAGTGTCAGTGTCAGTTAGTGTCATACTTTCAGTAGCTCTAGTTTCCTACACCGTTTTGCACACATTCTTCGCCCGCATCCCTCGCACACATCACTTGCTATTTTGTATGTACAAATACTTAGGCTCCGCTAACCCTTCTCCATCGGAGCTGCGCTAAGCGAGGCTAGGTAAATGAAGTAATCCTATTGGTGGATTTTTTCCTCGCACACCGCCTCGTTACGTCGCACGTACCTGGAGGAAAGGCAACCTAACTCCGTTCCAAACTCCTTTCAAACAAAACTATGTTCATATATAAAACTAACTTCTCTTTTTGAAGTCGCGTAAAATTGTACGTGTTATTCTAGACCAATAATTTAATAGGACTGTGTTAATCGTGACACAAGATGGCGTAGTCGGGTATTTAGTACCTATTTGGTACACCAGATGTCCGCGATGAGTACCAAATAACTCTTTTTTTTTTGTAATTAATTTGTTTTACATTGACGAATTACAATTTATCAAAGCTAGGTACTAACTGTAATTCCTAATGATATCATACAAATCAACTAGATGGCGATTATTGCACTGATTTCCAGGGATATTGCTATTTATTTTGTTTAGGATTAGCGCCACCTACCCCAACACGCAAGCGTTAAGAACCTAGCTTTAACCCATTTCTGCCGAACATCATGGGCGGAAATGACGAACAAGTTATTAGGTAAACAATTGCGAAATTAAATGCAATAAACAATTGAATTTAATTTCGCGGCGATGTAAATTGAACCTTAGTGAGAAAGGATGATATAACCACGATTTGGAATTAAAAAAAATGTACCTGAAGTGTAAATTGTGTACTTAAAAATACTTAAATTCAAACCTTTAATATTAAATGGTACGGTGGTGCGCTGTGTCTGCAAAGGTGAATCTCGCGCATTGACCATAGAGTTCATTATGCTATGTACAATATCGTTACAAAAACTAGCTTCCATTCCGTTCCGCCGCAATATAAATTGAGCCTTAATTAGCACGCTTCAACACCGTGTCTATGTCATAGGCAGGTTTAAATGGTAATGGGAATTCACAGTTTCGGACTACGATCTCCGTAAACGAGCGAATAAATTAGTCAAACTAATTGCAACACTTATATATACTTCACGCCCATTGCCCATTGGGGTAGGCAGACACAACAAACAGCCTTCCACTTGCGACGATCCTACCGCAAATCTTTGAAACACTTACAATACTAATGATAACTTCAAGCCTCCATAACACATTTTAAATTTTATTTGCCGTCATTGTACACGTTAAATGAGCAAAACACAGTTGATCGGTTTAAGTCTTCTCATGAGTTTCAGGGTCGTATTCTAGAACTCTATTCAATGCTCAAGTCAGGATTCCACTGGAAACACAAGCACTGGAAATACGACTCTAATGGCAGGGACTTGAGTATGATTTCGAGTGCTTTAAACCATACTCAAATCCTAACTTGAGCATTGAGTAGAGTTCTAGAATACGACCCTTAGTGTGGTTCAAATCTTAGGCTGGTTACACATGGCGCCGTGGCGGCGGCGTTTTTTCCTGCTGCGGTGCCGCAAGAGATACGGCGTCATACCGCAGCACCAGCGGTAAAATGCAGCCCGTACGGCGTCATTTACTAAAATCGTACATTGGTAGGGACTTGCGGCAAATGTGTATGCAAGTATGTGTGTATACAAATGCAAGGGCGACTACAGTGCCGCGCGCGTGTCACTGCAACTGCGCTTCTAAATATTGTATGAAAATCAGTGGCGCGACTGCAGTGCCACTGCAGCATTTCTATAATTTATAGGCGCCCTTTGTACGGCAGGCGCAAATTAATATTAAACACCGCTCCTGGAACTTAATGTCTTGTGTTCAGAGATTAGGCAACAAAATTCTATATTTCTGGTTTAGCCAATAATTAAATTAACTCTGTCATATTAGAATGTTGCATCTATTATAAAAGTTTTGAAAAATTTCAATGTGAAAATATTAATAACTAAAG